TTTTAAGAAAAAATAAATAAAATTATGTCCAAAGTTTATGCATTTAGTCTTGTTTTGTAGAATTATGTGGTACCCTGTGTTCACATAGTGGTACACCACTTCGTATTGCCGTGTTGCGATAGTCTCTTAAAAGCAAACCAAGCGGGGGTCAAATAGCAAAACTTGGAAACTAACCTCTATTCATTAAAATTTGAGTTTGACTCGATTCGATATAAGTTTGTGATAAAAAATTTCTAAATATAATATATATTTTTTTTATATGTTTTTCGCATAATTCTACTCGTTCGCTGGTCAAGCATGAACATATCAGGATCTCAAACTCGACTCAATTAGTTTACAGTTCTATTTATAACAATTGTTAGTTAATCATATTATATAACAAATATAATCATATTATATACCAAATATAATTAGTTATTTTCCAATTATAATAATTAGGGCTGATTAATAATCACTTGCCTATGTCTCATTGCACAATGTGAATTGGGGCACTTGGAAGTCGCCTCGCCTCGCCTCTTTGATGCTTCTTCCTGCACGTGCGTCAAAATTCAACAAAGTGGTAAGCATCCTCTTTGCACGTATAGAGACAAGTCACGTGAGAGTCACGTGTACAGGCGGGCCTCATCCATTGATACGTACCTGAACAGATTATTAATGAACAGTTGATGGGGTTTTTAAGTTAATGATTATCATACAAATATATGTATGTATGCTAACTGCTCAAATGTGGTCCGACATAATCCCAGCACCACATAATTAATTAAAAAAAATAAAAATGCTACGGTCTCGTTACGGAACCATTCCATCAGAGTTCGTAACCGTTAGATCATCATGTAACCGTCAGAGATAATTAATCTAACAGGTACAAACCCTGATAGAATAGTTCCGTATCGGGACAGTAGCATCTTCCTAAAAAAACTAGTAACAAAATCAATTAATCATGCAATAAATAGTAACATAACAACTTACGAAACGACGAAGTGGCTGTAGTCCAACTGGGCCTGATTACAGGGGTTGTAGACACTGAGAATGGGCTGGGCTCCTTTGAAATAAAGACAAAAAGGCCGAACTTTAATTTAAATCATTTCAAATTAGCTTTGGGCCTCAAAATGAGAATTACACGAAAAGGCCTGGATACTGTTTTCTTCAAGCATTGACTTGGAAAGTAATTGAGTGGGGGAAGAAAATGCATGATACTCTACACGGATTTGACTGCAATTTAATTTAAATAATTATTCCCAATGTTTATATATATTTTTTTTTCAAATTCACTAACTATGAATGTTTTGAAAAGATAACAAAGACCGGACTTTCATTACACGAAAAGTTGTGTAAAATTAAAACTTGAAAAGATTTTACGTTGATTAAAATCGATCTAAAGTCCATGCGTAGGTGGGACCTGTCCGTTCGACTTGCGCGTGGGTCCTACAACATAGCCCTTGACTCGTCGACATATTACGATTATTAAGTTTGAAGGATACATAAATGACTTTTAGCCTTTTTAAATTAATTTTGTTAATAGATCTTTCAATTTGATGAAAATTTAAATCAATTAAACGAAATTTAATTATATATGTCAATTCATTTGCCAAATTAATATGGGACATGGAGATAGTGGTGGTGTTGATTGGGTGAGGTCAAGTTAAACACGATAATATTTACGTCAAAATCTCAATAATAATAATAATAAACAAATAATTGGTTGTTGAGTTAGGAGGAATCTTTTGTTATCTAATTTTGAATTCATTAATTTATTTGTTTGCTTCCTTAATAAGGGGAAATTAATAGTGGATAGGTGTTGGTAAATAAATAGATGTGACAAAAATAAAATAAAATAAAATAAAATAAAATAAAATAAAACAAAATAAAATAAAATAAAGGAGGAATAAATGAGTATAGATATACTCCGTAGGGCATCATCATGGGCGGTGCGACTGTGGCTGATTTAATGTTGACGACGTCATCGTTATGGATATTGTATGGTAGGGTGTGATTGAGTATAAATTTAATCAAACAAAATTAATTAAAGATCAATATTAACTCAATTTTAATTCAATTTCACCAACAATATATTATCAATACAATTACATAATATCAATCAATCATTACTATATAACACCATCAAATTTAATTCATTATTTATCAACTTACATAATTTTAACTAACCATCACATATGATCATTTTTCATACTTTTATATCAAATCAACTTTAATTATTTTATTTCAAATATTATTTTAATTTAAAATTAATTTTTCCACTAACTACTAACCATACCAAATTTTTTAAAATTAGTTATGTTTAACAAAAAAAATCAATCAAACTCTTAAATTCAAATATAAGTTGATATAAGTGTTTATTTATTTCTTGAATCTCATTTGCATCGTGTAGCTAGTATGTTTGCAAACACAACTCAATTCATCTCATCAATTTTCCGTAGCAAGTTGAACTCGCACGGAGCTTATTTAGTGTAGCAAACAAGCAAATTATTGACATCTAATTTTTTATTTTTTTATTTGGTTTTTATTTATAGATTTGAATTACAAGTGAGTCGAATTTGTTCGCGAACAACTCCTTAAAAATTTATTAAACAAGTGAATTCAATCCAATTCAAGCTGTGTATAGCTAATTTATCAAATGAATACAAACTCAAATATTCTAACATAAACTGTTAGAATATACACTAGCGAGTTATCCCACATCGTCTTTACAGGGAAAATAAACTTAACTTATAAGCCTAGTACTACTCTTCCTACCACTAATTGGTTTTGTAATAGAATTTCACTTGAGCTTTATCTGAAAGCTTAATTTATAAATATAGTGGACTATTTTTCCTACCACCAATAAGTTTTGAATGAAACTTCATTATGCTTTATAATCTATCTTTTCTTGCTTTAGTACGCTTCACGTCTGTGGAACCGCACCCGTCAACCCAGGTTTCTTCCTAAACTCCTGGATTCTATTCGAAGAACACTCAAATTTACAATTTTTAATATAGATATATTATTTTATATAAAAGAAATACTATATGAATGTTAGAATTTTCTACTAAATACGAAAAAAGAAAAGTTGAACTGATCAGTATCCTACTAGCTCCCATCATAGGATCTTAGCCATTACACCCCAACAAAATCAATAATTAGTATTTTATTAAATTGTGTGAAAGAAGTCAATATCACCACTCGATTTTGAAAAAAAAAAAAGAAAAGAAGAAATCGAAATAATAAAGGGCAATGCCTTTTTAATAAATTACACAAAAGACAATGCTATATGTACACCCCTTTTTTACACACAAAGGGTGTACATATAGACACCCCCATAATAAAAAGAAATAAAAAAAAAAGAGAGAGTAATAAATTGGTAAAAAAATATAATAAAAAGGAGAAGTAGAATCGAGGAGGCGCATGCAAAGCCACAATCATTTTGTCCTCTCTGCCCCACGCAAATCCTCCCATGCTTTTCTTTTACCACATTCTCCTTTATGCCATTTGCTTTCCAACTATTTTACAGTATTGCCACTCATCTTTTCTTTCTCTACCATGTATACATTTGTTCATCGCTACACAATTAAAGTACAAACTCATTTTTTTTTTCTTGAATTTATTTCAATAAAAGTACACAAAATCAAGGCTTTTTGAGATCCTACAGTTCCATCATCCCATCACGCTTGAAAATGCAGGTGGCTTTGTGTAATGTTTGGATTTAATTTGTAAAAATGCATCATAAAAAATGTAAATTTTATCGAATTATTCAAATTTTGTAATAATATCTTCATGCACTCCTCACTCTATATCACAATAAGTTGCGACTCTTGAATAAATAAGCCAAACTCGACCCGATCAATAAAGACTCGAATTCGAGTTCTAACTCATTTAGTTCTGAATCTCTAGAAATAACCCACCTTATTTTTTCGTCATTTTCTAAAAGATTCAATATGATATTACATTCAATGTGATATTACATATTTTCAAGAAAAGAAATATTTATTATATATTTATTGCAAGTATAGAAAGTGTTGCAAGTTGGAGGGATAATATGGTCCTGACATGATAGTCCCCATACTTGAAATATTCCAAATCCAGAACTGCACAGTATCAGAGGTAGTATCTTAAGCCCCACACATACACACACACACACACATTTCCACACACACATAAAAAAGC